AATAAAACAGGACACAGGAGAGAAACAAAATTCCAAACCTCTGAGAGTTGAACACAAGAGACAAAAACGCCTTTCTCTCTGGTCTCCTGCACAGTCAGAGGTGAGTTGAGTCTCGCAACACATACACTAGTTTCAGGGGGCGAAGGGGGATCATCGGGGGTTGGCTACTGTCGGCAAGACGTCACCACTACCTGCTTGGAGGCGGGCAGGTGCCCTTTGGCCCTACTCCAAAGAAGATCCCTCTCTGGCATGGCTCAGTTTGCCTCACATGTTAAAACTGACAAAGGAAATGCAAATCAGCATTGCATAGTTTGACTAAGCGCAGCCAAAAATGACAACGTAAAAAGGTCAATTAGATGGGTAACAGAAGTGCAGAAGAGGGTCATGCCACACAGGTGCAGGATGAATAAGAAGTACAAGAAGGTGTCCATAAGTGAGGCTCTAGAGACTGCCAAACAAAGACTCACAGCTCTGGCTGCTTGGCTGAAGAGATAGACTAGACAAGCAGAAGCCAAGAGAATGAATGGTCTGTTCCATCAAGGGTATACTCCCAGCTGCAAGGTAGCAACAACACGAGGACATACCCATCAAGAGCTGACACCACAATACTTTGAGGGTATCTGGGAGAAAAAGGCATCACACAACATGGATGCCAAGTGGTTGGTGGACCTTAAAGCAGACCACAGCAACCTCCCAGTACAATAACAAGTCACTATCATCATCCAACAACAAGTATCAGGCATAAAGAGCTACTTACTGTCTAATCTGTCATAGTTTTACTTGTATTGCAAATCCATAATCCCAGGTACTTTTTCTCCTAAGTATTTCATGTCCCATTTCCATAGGTATTTTGATTTCAGTGTCATGGGGATTGTATCTCCCCGTGTCATCGCCTCATATTTCTGCATGTTTAGTTTATACCATGATACATGACTATATTCATTAATGGTTCTAAATAGTACTGGGAAGGTGGTCTCAAGTCATTTAAATACAGAATAAGATCATCTGCATATAGAGTAAGATTGAGGTGCAGCCCTGTAGTTTCTAACCCTTGACTTTATATTTTACTGGTTCACTCTCTCTCTTGGGGTCTAAAATTACAACCTGGGCTACAGATTAACACTGAATTTAGAATTAAGTTTAGCTTTCCACAAAGTAAAGTATATCAGAAATCTGACGGTGAATCTGGAAAGTTTCCCCCCAATTCTTCCACACTGTGAAATTGCAACAGGGTCTACATTGGCACCTTCACCTTACCTGACCTTTAGTCTAGTGGCACTGATTGGGTGCGGTTTGTGTGTGCAGTGGTGTTGTCTGTGTGTGTGTGTGTGTGTGTGTGGGTAGAGGGACTTCACTTGCTGTGAGCCAGTGGCTGTGGGGCAGTTACTGATTGAGGACAGGTGTGATTCAGGTGCTTCACTCCCTGGGGTATTTAAGCTGCAGGCTGCAAACGCTGCTCTCGCTCTCACTCTCTGTGTGCTTCTGATCTGCAGGTGTGTGCACATTTAAGTAAAGGGCTTTTACCATGATGTTACACATGACATTAACAATGTGAATGCTCTCTCTCATTCTCTGTGTGCTTGGCAGCAGTCTGAAGTCAGCCATCAAGTAACAGTTACGTGTGACAACGAAGGACAACTACAGAAGCAACCCAGCATTAGATGAACTCTGTGTAAATAATAAAATAGTGTTTTAACTCTTTTTAGCATTGTGTTGTCTTTTGCCCTTACATTACTGGGTGTCAAATCGTGAATCTGCAGACCCACTGCAAGTATTGCATTAGGGATGTTATAAAATATTTATGTCTGATGGTATCACCATCAGATGCCACTAGTACCAATCACAGGTAAACCACAGCACCTCTGAATTTCTCTTTAAAATTGATTTTATTGTTGCCATGTATGTGGTGAAGGCTTTTCAGCAAATATGAATGGGGCTGCAGTTTCAGGGCTGCAGTTGTTGGACCCATGGCTGTGAAGGCCGAAGTTGTCAGGACTAGAGTTGTTGTGATCATAGTTGTGGGGGCTGCAGTCATCAGGGCAGCCTTTGTGGGAGCTGCACTGGTCGGAGCCATGGTTGTTGGAACCGCAGTTGTGGGGCCGCAGTTATTGGAGCCATGGTTGTTGGTGCTGCAGTTGAGTGGGGCTGCAGTCAGGGGGCTTTATTTGTCGGAGATGCAATTGTGGGTGCCACAGTTTTTGGGATTGGAGTTGTTGATGGTGCAGTTGTTGAGACCTCCACCATTGCCTTGTTTTTTGTATGAAACTGCCCTCTTGTGCCATCTATTGGCTGTATTTATCATGTAATGGAAGACATGGAAGTATGAGGGCAGTGATGCTCACAATGTTTGAAAAGAACCTGTATATTTTTGAATGTGAAGGGAGTATAAATGAGCCTTAATGATTATGACCTGGGCTACAGATTCAGGCTAAATTTAGGATTAAGTTTAGCTTAGCTCTCAATTAAGTAAAGTAAATCAGAAATCTAACAGTGAATCTGGCAAGTTTCCCTCCACTTCTACTTTCTTCTTCTTCTTTGGGCTGTTCCCTTTAGGGTTGGCCACAGCGAATCATCTGCCTCCATCTAACCTCTGCATCCTCTTCTCTCACACCAACTGACTTCATGTCCTCTTTCACTACATCCATAAATCTCCTCTTTGGTCTTCATCTAGGTCTCTTGCCTGACAGTTCCAATAAATTCATCATTAGATCGTCCCCTTACTTAAGAGTTAGTGACGACGGGCTTCAGGCTGTCGCCAACGGGTCGTCCTCCGTGTCCAGCAGGTGTTGTGCCGTATTAAGCACGCCTGCCGCGTTCCCGCCGCGACCAGGGGTGCTTTTCACGGCAGGCGTGCTTAATACGGCACAACACCTGTCAGCGGCGAACACAGATGCGGGGACGAGCCAGAGGATGGGAGAGTTTCTGCCGCAAACAAGCACAGAGACCCGGGGAGACATGGGAGCAGCTTCATGTGTTTACAGCAGAGAGCAGGAGCGAGGACAGACGTCTCACTCCGCTACCCTGTGCGCAAAGGGACCGCACACTTCCAGTTTATACTTGTAACTTCCGTTGTCCTACTAAGTATTGATAACACGCTTAGTATTTTACAAATTTTACGAATTTTGTTTATTTGATAAATGTGGCGCTGATAGGCAAAAATGAACTAAATGACTGTGGGGCAGTGGGCAAGTAATATAATCATAACACCTTTACACACGGTAACCACCCCCCGCCTGGCATAACGACTTCTCAGGTGGAAACCCTGCACATACTTGAGGAGAGAAAGAGGGAAGTCTGCTTAGGGGCCTACCTTGTGAACCAGCTGTGCAATGAACAAGAAGCTCTGGCCTGACACCTCATGCAACACCCTAATAGCATAATGGATTTCAGTCATTGCTACAATTACACTGATGGGAGAAAACATATGCATTTATACAAGTGAGGGGGCACAGTGAATGAAGTGGGGGGGCACTGCTCCCTGGTGCTCCCTCGTGAAGCCGACTCTGGATATATCCTAGTTAACTATACCTACCTTAGGCTTATTACACATATGTAAGGTTTAATGCTATATTGTTAACTTGCAAATTACGTGACAATGCATTTCAGGCAATTTTACAGAGTAACTAGTAATGTAACGAGTATTGTATCTACTACTAATTACTTTCTCCAGGGAGTAATCAAATAAAGTAAGGGATTACTTTTTTCCTAAGTAATGTGTAATGTATAACACATTACTTTTTTGAGTAACGACCCCCAACACTGGTCAGCAGTCGCCACAAATGTTGCAGCTGCGGTTGTAGGGGCTGCAGTTGTCAGTACTGCAGTAGTCAGGCCTGCATTTGTGGGTACAGCAGGAGTTTTGGGAGCAGCTGTTGTTGGGGCAGCAGTTGTGGGTGCCGAAGTTTTGGGAGCAGCTGTTGTTGGGGCAGCAGTTGTGGGTGCCGAAGTTTTGGGAGCAGCTGTTGTTGGGGCAGCAGTTGTGGGTGCAGAAGTTTTGGGAGCAGCTGTTGTTGGGGCAGCAGTTGTTGGGGCTGCAGTTGTTGGGGCTGCAGTTGTGGGGGCTGTCAACATAAGTCATAGGAGCCTGACACTCCACTGAGGATCTAATTTGTTTTAGCATTACTGGTAAGTAGAGGAAAGTACGTCACCACCAGCATCAGTTTTCCATTGTTAGAATACCATTGCCCTCAGTGAGCTCTTGCCAGACCATTACTGGAAACCCACATCAAGGTTGTCAAACAGGTTTCTTATCTATGTAATGCAGTTCCCGTCTTCATCTGCCCTCTCTGCTTTTGGATCACTTCAAATTCTTCTATTCCACATTATGCCTAATGTTTTACTGTTATCACTACTTCAGTCAGTTTAGTAGCACTGTAGGTACTACAGCTCCTTCAGTGACAGGCTTCTTCACCCACAGTGTGCAAAGGAGGAATACTGCAGGTCAGTGGTGTAGTGAAGAGGCGGGTGTAGGTAGATTGGTAAGTTACAGAGGAGGAAGTTAATATACTCTATATAATCTAAAAGCTTTCTGGCTGATGGGTGGGTGTACTGTAAACAGCCAGAAAAACAGGTGGGTATACCTCATTTATCTGCATAGACCCTGCACCATTGCCGCATGTCCTTCCTTCCTTAGTAACCAGTGCTGAAGCCCTTATTTACGCTACCTGTTAATGAAAACAATACTGATGTTTTTTTGCTAATGATGTGTGTCACTGCTGAATGTTTCCTAAAGTTCACTGAAAATCAGAAATCAAAGACTTGGCTGTTAAAGCGTACCAGTTTAGGCTGTTTGTAAGACTAAATTGTGGTAGGATATTTTACCTTTCTATAAAATGAGTTACTATGGTGTATTGTAGCTGATACGTTTTCCATTTGACTTTGAATTTAGTTGAACTTCAAACTCCCTCACAAAAAAATTGTCTTTTTTATTCATCCGCTATAGTTCCTAGATGGAGCTTGTTTCTACCGACGCTTTCAGTGTAACACACCCTGCGCATGCTCAGTAGCTCATGTGTGCACGGAGATTGGAGCAGACGAATTTTCTGCTCATAAAGTAAACTTTGCGGAACTAAAACGATAGATGTGTTGTGTGTCTTAGGAGACGGTGCAACTTTACATATGTAAAACTACCGGAATATCGTGAGTTTTTACAAAGATAAATGTCAACGTGATAGTGTGTCACTATGACCAAGAAGCGTTTGTTTTGCTAACGTTAGCTAGCAAAACGATGCAGAGTAACGTTTTCCAGCTAACGTATGTCCATATTTCTCTGTCTATGCATTAAATAATCAACCATTCGCGATGAGGTATTCAACTCTGTTTAATTGGAGTGTATAGTGGTATAAGAAACGATGTCTGCGCGACACCATCGACAGTATTAATATCAAAATTGCTGGATTTTTCTAACAGCTAACGTTAAAGCGTGTTAACCATAGCTGACGGTCGCTGTATTTTGTTTACCGTGTACAATAATGTGACTGTTGTTGTAAAAAGAAAAATGGACAGAGACTTGTTGAGGCAGTGTCTAACATATCATGGAGAATCACTGTTTAACAAACTGAAATGTGAACAAACAGAAAACCCAGACTTCCAGGCTGTGGTGTCTGACCTGTGCAAGGCCACGTGTGAAAGGTATCAGCAGCTTACTTTTGTTTGTTTGGTTTTGTTTTATTTGTTTTACTGAAGAAGATATTTCGAGTTAACATATTAACTTTTATTCATCATCTCCAATTTAAACGTCTCCTTTAGAAGGTCATCACTTCTTGCACTGGCAAGCTAATCGCTAATATTTTGGGGGATTTCGTTTCTCTGTTTTTTCCATGCATCTTGATATATTATTGATCACAAGGAGGGCTGCATTGATTATTTATCACAGTAGTGGATGATAAAAAGTGTTTGTTACGGGTCTAGTCTCAGTTAAGGATGATTTTATCAGTAACTGATAATGCAGTTATGTGAGATGTAGATGATCTGATACCTCTTTTTATTGATTGTTGCAGTCGGAGGCTCCTAGAATAAAAATGTTGTTTCTTTCATTTTGTGAATTTGAATTCAAATGTCTGATTTCATCTTCACATGCATCCGTCTACCAGGCATGCTTTACACAACATTTGTAGTGATAAAATATCATTTATTAAAGAGCCTCTGCTGATTATGTGTTTTTGTGCATCAGGAGTGATCGGCAGGACAGCGTCCTTGTGGAGCAGTTCATTGCCAGAAAGGCTGACATCCTGTTTTGTCCGGCATGGAAAACCGCCACTCATCAAGAGGAGGAACATGAGGAGGAGGATGCTACAGGTGTGTGTTGGTGTGACTACATATCTCAAGCTCTGTCCACACCAAAAGAGTTAAACAGTAGCAAAATAAACTGAGCTAAGCTCTCACTTTGTTTAACTGTTGTTCAACCCCCTGCTCTCTGTGATCACCTATACCATGTGTCAGTACAACCAAATTTAAGTGAAGTTGTACTCATGTATGTACATATCTTTTCGTGTGTGCCTACTTACAGCTCAGTGTCCCTTCCCTATTTTTCCAGCCTGTGCTGGATGAGTTCCTAATTAGGGGAGGGGATTTCACAGAATGTGACTCTCTGTTGATGAAGTCATACCTGGCGCCAAAGTGTGGTTAAGTTCTCTAATAACGTTTTTTGCCTCACGTCTGTGTGCTCCAAAATACAAATCTTTGAAGTCTCTCCTGATAAATATTTTTTTTATGTCTTTCAGAAGTGTGCAACACTCGCTATGTTTACATGCACAAAGTATTCCAGTTTTTGCCCTTTTTTTTAAAAAAAGATACAATATTCCTTTGAAGGTTTTTACATAGCTTATTAAAATGATTATTTCCTTAATATTCCTGTTTACATGTAGCCTCGCATAATTTGATTAACGTGCCCTGACATGTTATTTATTATGTCAAAATATGGATAAGTGGAAAGGCTGGACCTGCTTGTTCCACTTGCTTCTTTTCATCATTACAGGATTTTTCCTCTTGTTGGTGGACTTGTTCCTTCATGCAAATACAGCCTCCCTCTTTCATTCCTTTAACCACCTACTTGAAGAGGTGGGCATTGGATATTTGTGCTTATCCAAAGAGCTGTTAATAACAAAGTATTTCATAATGTTTAAAAGTAGGTGACCAGATATATGAGCTTTTCTTTTGGGGCATGCATCTATGCACCAGCCTTGCAAACTGTTGGCTGGGGGGTTTATGTACAACATAACCATGACAATGCACAGAGCTGACTGCAAACAGGCAAGAGGTTGTGTGTCGCATCTGGGATAAAAAAACCCCAGTGGAAATGTGTATTCTGAGTGTGCCGTACACCTGCCCTAAGAATGCTCCTTAAACCCAAATAATACCGGCATATTCCATATGTCTTACTCTGAAATTCGGTAAATTGGTATATCTAAACTGAATATGCTGTTTACATGACCAGCATCAAATTCAGAATGTTGTAATATTTGCAGTAGTAGTTCATTATTCATTATTAGTGTACAGGAAAATGTAGCCACTGTGTCTACACAGGAGGTGTAGAGTGAGCAGCACATTAGCAGAGCAGCAGGAGGTTCAGCCCTCCATCTGTGTTTACACAGGTTGTTTTTAAATTGAAGTAGGAATGTATCTTTGTGTGTGAGATATTTAACTGTGCTTTCTGCCTCTGCCTTCCCAGAGCCCTATGCCATCATGCCACCAGTGGAGTTATTCATGGAGGTGTCTTATGAGGAAAGAAGAGCCATGCTGTACAGGGACTTGGAAAGAGGAGACATTGTGGTGGGGAGGATCAACAACATTAGAGATTACGGCTTCTTCCTTACTCTTCTTTGCACCGCAGGAGGACTGAAGAGAGACATAGAAGACCTAGAGTTGTCGGTATGTCAAGAAGCTAAATCAATTAAATGGGCTTAAGCCCTGTCATAAATCTTGTGACAGATCGAAACCAATCGTTCAACCATTGTAGACGCAGAAGACTTGGATTGTGAGTGGGCCAGGTATACTGGTACAGCTCTGGCTCTGTGAATTCCTGAATGACTGCCAGTGAGAGTAAACAATGTGTCTCGTAGTGCACCATGCAGGTTGAGATCTAAAGTCACATGCTTGACATGTATGCGATTTATCCATCTCAGTTATGACTACCTAACCCACATTTGGTTTCAGGGAATCTCCTGCCCTAAGGGTTCGACCAACATGACCGGTATTCCTCCAGGAATTCACAGAACTATAGTTACTTTAGTAATTTCTTGCAAGCCCCTGCACCAGGTGGAACCACACAACACATCTGAAGACTTATCTAAACTATTCAGCTGTTTTTTTTTTCCTTTTTCTTCCACCTTCAGGCTCTGTGTCACATCAGAGAAATTCCCTCCACCGGCAGCCATGATGATCCTTTGTCCTACTACCAGATCGGGGACTTTATCAGAGGTCAGTGTCTAAGTTGACTTTGACTTAAACAACCAGCTGTGTGCAGAGTTTCTCTTACAGCCAGACTTCAGGCTCATTTTACCTAAAGTTGTTAATAAGGCTTTGACAGTCAACAAGTTGACTTGACTTATTCAACCTATCGTTTTAATGTTGCAGATTAATCGTTGAAACGGATAAACTGGTGCTGATAAGACTTTTTAAAAACTAACATTTACTTGGCTCCAGTAGTAGCTGATGGCTGTGTATCCAGTCACGTGGGGACGTACTATCGGCTATTGGCTTTTTCCTATTCCAAACTATTATTATTATTGTATCAGCCTTTAAAGATCCACCAGTTGATCTCAAACAATAGTCATGTTTGCGATGAGTGGAGACCATCACCAAAACAAGCACTTTCTTCACATTTGAGAAGCTGAAACCAGAGAATGTTTGGCATTTTTGCTTGAAAGTTACTTAATTGATTAATCAATTATCAAAATAGTTATTGAGTCTTTTTTGTCAATGGACTAATCATTGAAGCTCTACAATATCTATATCTGCATGATTTCCAGACAGTTACCAATCAGAATGCCCTCCAGAAATTCATAAGTTAAAAATACCTGAATGTATTTAGAACATGATTTTTTGTTGTGAGTTTTTGCTGTTTTTCATGTCAAAAGAAAAATGTGGTCAAACCTTCACCTAATATCTGCACTGTCTCATTCTGTAGCTGCGGTGAAAGATATTGACCGCTACCAGGAGAAAATCACAGTGTCCCTCCACCCGGCCTCTCTGTCTTCCAGCTTGGAGCACATTAAACTGGGTGTCTTTCCCCGGGAAGAGCTGCCCATACACTACAGGTAACTACACAACATGACATGACAAAACACTACAAAATACACAACACTGAACTCTGAAAGGCTCTGACAAACTAAGACTAATTTAAAAAAGAAAATGTTGTAGTTTCAGAATTACTTTAGGGAAAAACATCTGGCTATTTGTGGTTAACACTGATTAATACATTAAAATTGAATTTAAATTTAATTTGTCTGTTGATGGTAACACCCATTTCACCCTGTCATGCTGTATTTTCTATGATTCTAGCTGCTCATCATTATTTTATACAGATCAGCTGCAGTCACGACTGATGCTCATGTAAACATTTTCTTTGTGAGCTCCATATTCACTTTGTAATCACAAGAGAAGATAAATAAACTATTTGAGTGCAGCTAATTGTGGCATGAGTTGCTATAACTGGAATTATCTGTTTAGCGTTTTTATACTTCTGTGCTGGCGACAGCTGTGGCCAGAGGCATGATATTTTTGGGTTGTCTGTCCATCCAGCTCCCGTAAACACAACAAGAATGCCTTGAAAGAATTTCTTCAAATTTGGCTCAAAGTGATCACTGTGACCTCATGAAACATGTTTTTGGCTACTCAAGAAATGATACGCTAATTCTGAAATCATTTTACACAAATGTCTGACAAGATAAAATGATGAAGTGATGGCATTTTATATCCAGAAGGTCAAAGGTTAACTTCACTGTGACATCATAATATAATACAAAAACACTTTTTCGCCCATTACTCAACTTCAAGGCGAGACATTTGGTTGGATACTGAATTGATGACATCTTGGGTGTCCACCTCTACTGATTGTATAGATCTTCTGTGCTGCCGGGTTGAAGATGTGTGTGAAGGATTCCACATTTCACCAAAAAATACACTTAAAGGGATAGTGCACCCAAAAATGAAAATTCAGCCATTATCTACTCACCCATATGCGGAGGGAGGCTCAGGTGAAGTTTTAGGGTCCTCACAACACTTCCAGAGATCCAAGGGGAGAGGAGGTAGCAACACAACCCCACCTAATGGAGGCTTATGGTGCCCCAGATTCAAACATCCAAAAACACATAATTGAAACTACAAAATATCTCCATACTGCTCATCCGTAGTGATCCAAGTGTCCTGAAGCCCCGACATAAAAAGTTGTTTCGAAAAACGCCATTTGAACTCTGTTTTTAGCCTCATTGTAGCCTGCAGCTCTGACTGCCTCTCTGAGCGCGAGACCAGCGAAAGTACGTGAACACACATGAACGCGGTGCCCATGTCTCATGGCCTCCTCCCTCGGCATATGGGTGAGTAAATAATGGCTGAATTTTCATTTTTGGGTGCACTATCCCTTTAAAACCTTTCATTAAATTCCTTCAAAGTCTTCATCATAGATATTATATAAGTCTGGACAGACATGGATGTAAACTATAACTTGACTGGTTGACGGAGGCATACAGCCATGAGGCCGTAATTCTAGCCTACTTGTTGATCACGTTCAGTTCTCACGTGGGACTCTGATTCCTCTCCTCTTAGCCGTAGCGTTTGTGCAGCCGCTGACTCCAGTGAGACCTATGAGTGCATACTGAAGAGTTGCCATGGCTACCACAACCCCTCCGTAGTGGACTTCCTGCTGGAAAAGGTGGGGATTAGTGACACCCACCCGCCGTCAATGATGAGAGGACTACAAAGGTAAACATGTTGACTGGCTGACTTGACTCACTTGTTTGAAATGAGAGCTCTAAGCAACGCAGCAGTTATCTGATAAGTGTTACTTATCTCTTATCACCAAATGTCAAGGCAAGTTTCATAATGTGCAAAGAATTATAAGTATGTAAATTAGTAATTGTGAGTATGGAAAACTTTAAGGGAAAAGGACAAACACCTTTATACTGTTGTAATTAATGTCTTTGGTTCATGTGCTGTGGCCTGTGAAAAACTTCTCTGTATCTATTCTCTGAGTGTTTCTGTGTCAGGAGACTTTTCTTTCCAAATTTAAAGTTTAGCTTTCCAGGCAGGCAGCTGGTACTCTTTAGGTAAAGGAAACCAACAATGTTGAGAGACAACTGTTTTATATGTTGCCGGAGTGTGACCTTGTGCCTCTTTTCTCCACAGTAAAATTTTCAATGAAGAGGACTTTGCTTCTGTAATCAGGAAGAAACAGTCTGCATCATGGGCCTTGAAGTGGTAATTCTAAACTTTTAACTTTAACTGCAGGAAGTGTGTAGATGGACTTCATTCTGTTTTTGAATTGGTCTCTCATACAGTAGTAATCACAATACAAAGTGAGCAACATGTCCTTTCATATAGTCTTTCTTCCTTTGGCTGTTTCTGACTTGACATTAATATAAACCCATTCTCCATCTTCCTTGTCTCTCTTTGTTCCATCAGTGTCCGTGCAGGTGTGGACCACTTCAAACACGGTCGTCACGTGGAAGCCATGAATGAATATAACAAAGCCTTGGATATCGACACTAATAATGTTGAAGCACTGGTGGCACGTGGAGCTCTGTGAGTTGATTTTTAAATTTAAGTCATGCATCTTAATTTGGATGTTCTAATACTGTGTAACTCTGGTTTTATATCATGGTTTCCAGTGATTACCAGGGCCTGTATCCCCTGGAAAGTCTTTCATTATTTGACATTTATATATCATATACCCATCCCAAGAGTTTTCTAAGCCATCTGCTTTGTGTATTGTATTTTGGTGAACATTTAGCAGTTGTTTTTAATTGATAAATGATTGACGTAATTTTTTTCCAAATTGTACGTCAAATTGAAGTGGTGAGCACTGACAAAGAATGTGTCAAACAAAGAGAATGCAGCAATTCATTTGGAGGACAGGGTTTCCCCCAGAAAAGTTGTCAAGCCAGGTGGCAAGTATCTTTTGACGGGGGCTGGAGGCAGCCCGGAGAAGGCTGGCAGTCGAGTTTCTTTTTTGATGGGGGATTTTGATGGTAACAATGCAGATAAGTTTGAAACATATGTAATATGATGCAGCTTTGGGATGTATTTATGAGGGATTGAACTGGGACAAAACAACATTGTGCATAGGGCCTCTAAAAAGCTAGAAATGAGACCTGTCATGGGTAGAGGAGTTGCCAAGGACAAAATGCGATGGATAGATCTCATTGCCGCCTTGAGTCCCATAGTGAATGGCGTTCTGACATCTTATGGTTAAAGGTAATGGTTAGCCATTATCATGAACCACCTTAAATGCAAACTTCGGCTGCTGACTCGTTTACTATAACATTACTGTTAACATCAAACAGTCTAACATTAACTAACTAGAAAGGTTAACATTAATACTAGCAAGTTTAACATGACCTCATTGACTTGGGTTGAATTCCCTGTTGCAGCTGAGGCTGTCACGATATCAGAAGATGGCAGCTCTGTGATGTGTGTGTATTGATGCGTGCTTGTGTGTGCAGGTATGTGTTGCCGTTCATTTTAACGTTAGCAGGGTGTTTTTCTTTATTCTCCAGGCTACTTTAGTTTGAGATCTTTAAAATTAATTTGTAAAAAAATTCCCTGATGCTAAGTCCCAGGCGGGGGATCGACCCAGGCCGGGCGGGTGTCCTGGCTTGCAATTCACAGGTGGAAACCCCGGAAGAAAATAGAAGGAACAGTAAATCAGATACCACACCTGTCCCTGTCTAAATTTCATTGTCAGTGTTGCAGAAATTAGTTATGTTGGGCTCTGTGCCTGCTCAGTGTACCTGATGAAGCACAATGATATAACACAAAGGGAACTCCTCCATGAATGGCATAACAAACAATGATGTTAATGTCAAAACTGTCTTGTTTGTATTTACATAATTGTTAAAGTAAGACTTTATAATCCCTCAGTAAGCATCAAGTCTTTCAATAGAGAATGGAAAAAAATCCTTCTCGGAATGTAATTGTTTCTCAGTTTCAATACTTCCTGCAGATAGAATGATTTGATTCTCTCTCTTTTTTTTTTTTTTTAAGTTTTTTTTTTGTCTCACTGTGTGTTTTCTGCCTTGGTTTTTCACAGATATGCTAACAAAGGCAGCATCATGAAGGCTGTATCAGACTTTGAATTGGCCCTGGAGAGCTGTCCAGATCACCGCAATGCCAAGAAGTACCTCTGCCAGACATTGGTGGAGAGAGGAAAACAGTAAGCAGTGCTACCTTTTGCTTTAATAATAGTTCACAGGTGTCTGTCCTGGTAGTTTTCCAATGAACGAGGGATGCATTTGTCCTCTCGCCGTCTCTTGCCTCTGTGCGGCAGGCAGAGAGCAAGAATTTTGTGCTAACATTACTTGTGTGAAAGGGATGGGGGTTCTGTGCTGCCTGTTCATAGAAGGCCAAGTCCAGTGTCAAGGCTGTGGTTCATGTCCATCTTGGCAATTGAGGAAAAGTTTAGTTTGCAGCCTGAAACAAGAGCCAGCCTGCACAGTCCAGCTAACATGTCTTTGTAGGTGAGTGTCTATAAATGAACATGTATCCCGAAGTAATCAGTATCATGCTGCTTAGCCTAAGTGAGAGGTAGAAGAGTCATCGCCAGCAGTTGCACAGCACAGTAGAAACCTCTCCTGTGCTATATTTTTCATGTCATTTTTCTTCCCATTTAATCTTCTTTTATCAGTGTACAATTAACATTACATTTAAGAGCAGCAGAATCCTGAAAGGGTTTGAATATTTCTGTGCTCTGTCACCATTTTAAAAATAGAGATGACAGACATGCTGACTTGGAACAGACAAGTGAGCATTATCTGGTCTGGTTTGTTCATGTAATTAAAAAGAGGTCAGTGTAGAGATGGGAGTGGTAACAGAAAAATGTAATTAAATCTAAGTAATTAATAGAAACAATTATTTGTGAGTAATAACTGTGACGTTATTAACTCAGAAGTCTATTTTGTGTGTGTGTGTGTCTCTCTCTCTCTCTTTTTCTCTTTCTCTCTCTCTCTCTCTCTCTCTCTCTCTAGGCTTGAGGAACAGGAGAAACTAGTAACAGCGGAGGGACTGTACAGAAGAGCTCTATCTCTCGATGACTCAAACCCTGAAGCGCAGGAGGCCCTGCACAAGATCACAGACACAATACAGGTGAGCGGACCACCAAACACGCATGCAGCACATGCGGGACTTAGGCAAAGTTGAAAGGTATGCACCGTGTATATTTTAGGTTTAACCATTAAAGCACACTGCAACAGTAATGGGCATATCAAAGCTTTGTCAAGCCTACCCTTAAATGTGGTGTTGCGTATGACTTTAAAAAACATTACATACGTCATACGCTGCAGAAGGAAGCCAAAACAACGCCAAAAACCTGGGTGTACATTACCTGCTCAGCACCAAATGACAGACAAAATTAATGATTAACTGGGGAAATTAGAGACTTGATTAGCAGCTAGCGAGCCAGGTTTTCCCCTCAGCAGCTGGTTTAGACTAAGAACTAAGTTGTAAGGAGAGTGAATATTGGACTTATGTTCGTCAGGTGCCTAGACACACAACTCCAAAGAATGTTAATGTTGCTCTGTACCTGCAATACTGGGTTCACAGCTTGTTTCCACTGCCCCCAAGTGGCCAGAAAATAAATTGGAGCAGGTGTAAATCCAAATTCAGCAGAGGCATGTATGAATCTAACAGTTGGTCAGATACTGAATTGGTGACACTAAACTTATGTTTCCAACTTGGTGCTGATTGTATAGAACTTCTGTGCTGCTTGGTTGAAGATGTGTATGAAGCAGCATCCACATTTTAGAGTTTTTGCGTCTTTTCAACAACATCCATATTTGAAGCATTGTCTACTGTCGTGTCGTGTGGACAGACATGGATGTAAACTGTAACTGCAACTTGAATGGTTCACGTCAGAAATGTAATAGATTTGTTTTTTGAAAGTTATCCTGGGGCCGTTTCACCATCATGAACAATTAGTTAAAAAATTTCCCGCACACTCAAAAATCAAGAATTTTTAGTACTGATACTGACTTAATTTGGTCCTTTTTCAAGTGTTATCACACCAAACACTTAAAGCCTGCTCAGAATTAGTGTGTAGTATGAAATTGGGACATTAAGGGAGATGCCATGCACAGTCTGAAAACGCCCACACACTCTTATCAAGCCTAATCAGTCAAATAAGTAAAAAAACACCCATTTAAGTGTACCAGGGGCTTAGTGGGGGTTTTACAATATCTAGACCAGAGCTCCATGCAGTGCTGTCCATGGTGCTGAATCATGTCTGAGAGCGGCCATAGGGGCATCTGTCTCAAGTTGCCTTGTCTTCTGAAAACAAATGTTTATCTGATACAGATACTCTACTTAGTTAGAGAAAATATTAGGTATTCTTCTCTGAACAACATCTTGTTACATTCTGAATTTTGCACATAAACACATACATGTTCCCGACACTGTCGGTTTGTAATACTGATGAAGTGTTTTGGTGTGTTTGTATGTCTTCGACCCTGGGCCGCTGCCCTTTGACCCTCCAACTTCCACGGCCTTGTCACCTGCCTTGCGGGGGTGAAAATAAATAAACTGCACAATGGCAACGACTCCTCCACTGGACACTTGTGTGTGCCATGTCCCCGGTCCAAATACGGTAACGTTGAAACCTTCTGTGTCTCAATGGGGAACAAATGCTGTTTGTCTTCTCTGCACATCTCTGCTTTTACCTCTGTCCCTCCATCTGCCTCTCTGCTAACTACTGTTCTCTTGGATCACACAACTTTCTCTGTGGTAAATATGTGACCCTCCGTATATTTCTCCATCATTCTGTCATCTGTGGTGTGTGATCGTAACGTCTTCTGTCCTTCTCAAACCTTTGACTTCCCTCTTCCTCTCCATACCTTTAACTCCAACATGAATGACTGAATAAATGAATGAATGGCTGAATACTGATTGATTTCGGGGTCTCTGTTGCATGTCTTGGGTCATGGCGTGTTTGAATATGTCTCTGTGGACTCTTGCCTGCCATTGTCATGTCTTGCCTTGCCTTGCCTTGCCTTGCCTTGCCTTGCCTTGCCCGGCGACCGTAAAGAAATCGATTCGCCGGCGAGAAGAAGCGCTGGCTAAGGAGCAGGAGAAAGCTACGAGCAGCCAGACCAGTGCTGAGAAATTGCGTAAGATCTTAAAAGAGGAGAAGAGGTGAGTTGGCTCTGATCTTTTAAAGGTTTGGCAGGTAAATATACTGCAGATGAAGTCATGCAAGTTATTTCATAACTTCAAAGCATCAGCTGTTTTCAGTGGATGCCTTTTTTTTTTTTTTTTTTTACAGGATGAAGAAAAAACGAAAGAGATCAGTCTCTTCCTCTTCTTCTTCTTCCTCCACTTCCTCCAAGAGCTCCTCTTCTTCTTCATTGTCTTCCTCCTCACGCAGGAAGTCCAAGAAGAAGAAAAAGAAAAGGAGGCGATCTGAGCGAGGTAGTAAGCGCCATCGCAGGATCTCCTCAAGCAGGAAGAGTGAAGAGGGTAAGAGTGAGAAAGACAGAAAGGAGAAAGTGGAGGACGAGCTGGAGTGGTATCCCGCTCCTCCCAACACCTCCGCCACCTTTCTCAACCAGAAGGGAGGCCCGAGGTTTGGAGAGAGGGATGAGGAGGAGGTAGTGGAAAAGGATGCTGAAGAAAGACGAATCAGTCAGCTTTATTCTTTGTCAGCAGCTTCAGAAGACGAAGAGTCTGACTCCTCATGCAGAGAGAAGAAAAGAAGGGAAAGGGAAGAGAGCAGGACAAGAGGAAGGAAAAACAGTCAGAGTAGAAGCCTGGAAAGAGAGGAGAGAGGGAGCAGGAGTAGAGAAAGGAGGGATAGGAGCAGGGAGAGAGGGAAGGAGGATAATAGGAAAGACAGGAGAGGCAGTGAGTCCAGGAGGAGAAGCAGCTTAGACGAGAACAGAAAGAGAAAGGTGTCCTGCTCTTCTGCCGAATCTGACTATTCACGAAAATCCAGTTCCAGATCTGAATATTTGGGGAACTCGGGTTCTGCGTACAAACATTTGGAGAGCAGAATGAGACATGACTCTTCCAGAAGGAACTCCTTGGATGGTGTTAGGTGTGAAAACAGAGGGCGGGGAGACATTCGGGAGGTAGAGGAGGCAAAGAGAGAGAAGGACAGCAGAAAGGGGAGAGAGGACGAGAGCAACAGGTCAGATGGAGGAAACAGCAGAAAATCAGAAGGGGCTGGAAATAATAATAACAAACAGAATAGTTTGACCCCAGTACCTGGTGGAGGGCCTAAAAAAGATCTCCCTTCCAACCTGCTAGATATTTTCAATCAGATTGCCCAGTTTGAGAAGGAGAAAGGAGTCAGGCCAAAATAACAACTCCAAACCAAAAGTCCAGAAGACTGTGAAATGGATGTTTGTATCATGAATTCATTCATTCTGGACTGTGCATCAAGCAAACACTGCTGAAGGAATGGCCAAATGTGTTGTTGATTGAATGTCCCCAGTTGTTGTCAGTTACTTTAGATTTAGTGAAAACATCCAAGTCATTTTATTTGAAATGGCTTTGTCCTTATGGTGGATTTAAGGCCTGTGAGAACCTGTTGTGGTCAGAATGTGCACCTGAATAGCTTGATACTGTAGTTTAATACTTAACTCTAACTGGTTGCTGTAAGCCAAGTAAAGAGAGGGACATTTTCCACTTACTGAAGTCAATATTATTTGCCATCTGTGATCATTTCCCCATTTAGAGGTTAATGTTTGTGTACATTTTGAGATTATATTACGTTACTCAGCACATCTGATGTCACATCAGTTGCCACAGGCTTTAATATCTCATTGTGTGTTCATCTTAAGTTGAGACTTTTATCTGTTAAAGGAGATACTGCCTTATGTTTACTGCCTTGTGCCATTTTGTGCATTCTCTCTGTGGCTTGTTAAACAACCCGACTGTTAGTACTGCAGTACTTTTTCAAGCTTTTCACAATGCAGATGTTCCAGTTGTGTCCCAACACTTTTTCTCCTGGAGTAGAACAAACTCATGTTAATCAATAAAGCATTGAAAATGTCACATGTGGTGTCATTCAAGTCATTGGGATTTGATTGGCTTTTTCAGTTCAAGCAAATGTTTGTTACCTGTCTTCCTAATGCTAACAGACCATGCATATTTCTCAAAATAACAGGAATGAAGCATCCTTTGCTGATTTATAGCAATATATCCGATACAGCCAATGTGATAAATTCCAAAGCATCAAAGCAGCAACATAAACATTTAAATGCCTCTGTTGGGCAGAAAAATCAAGCTCATAAAATTTAAACCTGCAAGAAAGCATTTTATCAAAAATGAATGCAATATTTGACTTGGATTATAGTTGTCATTCAGCAGCACATTATCGAGAAATGAAACAAATGTTCACACAGAAATGTAAAAGATTCATAACATTATTAGATTATCCTCTTATACCATCTGAATATCTTCTTTTTGGTACTAATCATTATATTCAAATATTTAATGCTTTTAATTCTCTGTGTATTGTTTTTAAATAGCTAATACCAGATGTTAAGTTAATACAACGCTCTATGTCTCTGTTACTAGTGCTAAATACAGGAGGCTGCAGGGACAATACTTTTTAAAGTAAGTATTTTTTTGGGGGGTTGCAGCGCACTCTGGAGAGATTTCACAGGTTTCAGTGATTTAAAGATGTAAAGAGTTAATGTCTCTGAAGGAGAACAGCATCCAAGGTCAAATGGTCATTGTCCGGTTAAAAGAGTCAAAGTTTTAACATGACGGTTACAAAGAGCTTGCATATTCAAGGCCACAGTTCATGATGATGTAAATGCAACAGTGCGGAAAACCTCCAGTCAAACTTTATGGTGGAAATATTCAGCTGTGGGGCTGTTTCAAGTGACTTGCACAGGATCAGCTACACACTTGCCAGAGAGAGAAATACCACTTTATTTTGCAGCAGCATGCTACCCCTTCTGGCTCAGTAATATGTGTGGAAGAGGATTCATTTTCCAGCAGGATATTGATCCTGAACATGCATGGAAGCTACTGTATACCAGGCCTGTTTGAAGTCCAAGGAAGAGCAAGCACTGCTGGCTTGTGTGGCTTTTCCCCTCCACAGTCACCAGACCTAAACTTTACTGAGGAAAAAAAAAAATGGCCAAAGTCCAAAAGTGAAAAGGGGAAACAGGAAAATCACAAGACGCTAATCTGGGATACTGTCAAAGGGTTGGTTCAGCCAAAAATTCAGTGACAAAATCATCAATTCTCCTGTGCTATCAGCCATGCATATAGTTCATGTTTTATTTTCCCTTTGAGCTATTACACCTTTTTTTTTTTTTTTTTTTACAACACTGATTGTATGAAGTATTTATTTGGTAGAAAGTTCAAAGTCTATTTTAAACAGATGTAGGAACTTTTTTGGTGAGCTGGCCCTTTAAGTGGAGCTGGAATAAGGTTAAAGATATTACTAAGACAAACTGTAGGCGCCGAACATTAGGAAATGTTTACCCTTTGTAAAATATTAATATACTGACTGAATGTAGTTTTTTGTCTTCTCATGCCTTATAAGAAAAGCCCATGTTGATCCCCATATTGGACATTTCAGTGTTGCAGCAGCACAAAGACAGAAATGGTACAGATACATAGAGAAACATATAAAATTCAATTAAATAAAAAAGTACTTAAAATAAAGATAACAATAAAAGCTATTAAAGAGCAAGTAGACTCAAAATTACAATGCAAGCAGTATAGAAACTACTCACGACCAGAGCTGTACTTGAGCTGCAATTCTGTCTCAAGCAAAGTGACAGTAATGTGATTACTAGCAGCAAAGTACAGTTGGCTACTGTATATGTAATGTAATGGGATACCACCAACCATAGCAGTGCACAGCAGAATAGTCTGTATTACAGTGCTGGATATAAAGAAAAATATCGTTTGAGGTGAAATGTTTAGCATAGTGTATAATTTAGTATGAGCATAGTAGAGTTATTGTATTAAAAGAGTACTTGTGTAATAATAATAATAATGATAGTACTACTACTAACAATAATCATAAATATAGGATGACGTAAAATATAATAAACACAATATGCTTCATGTATTTGGTGTGCAGTATTTGTAAATTAAATTAATCGGAGACAATAGAGAGGAAGAGTGTGCCAGACACTGGGAATTGGTGTGTATGTGCATGTGGTGTGTGTGAGTTTCTGACAGTAGCCAGCTGTTTGCTTCCATTCTGTCTCACTCATCATGTTATTGTTCACACTGAGGCAACACTGTCCTGACATGTGATGGCCTAAACACATCTGGTTGTCTCTCCTCCTTCAACTAAGCAAGTTAAACCCAAAGTGGCATTATGTCTTATTAGTGCTTTAAGCTACTTGGTGTCACACATTTGATTAAATAACCGGACACACACACTTACAAGTGGCTGTGCGACCAGCTGTGTGTCGGCCCGTGCCAAAGTAGCTTACTTCAGGCTTAGCTGCCAACCTCTCGCTTTCCTCCTCGATCATTACTGGTTCCATCATCAGTGATGCAGCAGAGAGGCTACAGTCTATCTTGTTAGGGCAGATTAAGCACTAATATACAGGCAGTAAAGAAGCCTCTTCATCTAATACTGTACACACAGACTCCTGATCCTGTGCTTTCTGTCTCACAAGCCTGACATCTTAATCTTTATAAATACTGACTGCAGGAGATCCTGCAGTCGTGCCTCTGGCCTTGCCGAGTGCTCACTCTGTGGGTCATCATTAGTCCTATAAAGAGGCACCGGAGGAGTTTTTGGTCCTGAGCAAGACGCATCACTGAGCACATGGATTATTCTGATGCCATTGTGCACCCTAAAAATGACTGCTGTGAGGATTGCAGTCTGAGTTTGTGCCTCACTTTCAATTATAGTTGTCAAATACAAAAATAGAGAACACACACACACACAAGAAAAACACATACACTGAAATTTGATGTCTTCTCATAATAGCAATAATATTGTGGTCCTCCGGATTTTAATTACTTACCTCCAGCCTGCAAATTAAAATATAACATATGCTGTGTGTTCATATAAGAGGAGGGAACTTTGTAATCTTTGTATATGTTATCCTCTTTCTTTCACTGTTCAAAACAATGTTCACAATACCAACAAAAACATATTGTTAATGCAATGTAATCACTGGAATTGTTACCACACACACAAGTTGATTTTAAAAATGTTTTTTTCTTGTGTTTATCTCCAGTTATTTTTGAAAGGTACTATAAAGAAACATAGTGTAGGCTCTACTTATTCAGAGGCCTTTTAAAGCAGTTTAACATGCTATATGGATCAGAGGTTCTTGGATCACGTACCACCAGAGATTTATGTTAACATTGTAGTTAGAATCTGAGCTTTGTATCCACAGCGTACATGTCCTTGAGAGAGACTGACTCACTTGCTCCTGGAAAAAAAACCCAGCCTCTTCTGACCCACGAGTGAACACTTAAATGTTTCTCAAATACCAAGAGGCAGAAGGAACAAATTCCTCATCACTTTTAGAAATGCATCAGATCTGCAGTCCTGCAGCTCTCCACTGGAGGGCAGTGGTGCACTGTGGACACCAGCTGTGGATTTTTAGCAAAAGGAACATATTGCATTAGTCTTCTCCATATTCATACTAATGGAGCTGTTTGCTTTTGTTTAAGTAAGAAACTGCATCTTGCATGAGTTTATGCTTTGATCTGTCTGTGAGTCAATCAGAAACAGACAATCTGGTTCATTATAGTTGTTTTAAGAAAGGTGCAGCCTTTGTGGTTGTTATTAACAGGGGTGGTGCTAGGAATTCTGGGTCCCTTGAACATTAATTCACTTGGGATCCTGAATTAGAAATATAACATGATATCTTTGATTTATTCCTTGGCCCCCATGTTCATGTTAAGTTTTTATCTCCACTCAGCACGTCACGGCTGCTCGGTAGATTTGTTTTGGTAACTTTTAGGTGCAACAAAAACGGAAAAAACAAGGGCAATGGTGTTTGTGATTTTTATTTTGTAACCAAAGAAATTAAATAAATTTCATAAGGCGCTATGCAAAAAGCTGACTGTCCACTGAGTTTAAAAATAATCCAAATGAACAAGAATGAAACATGAAATGAAGAGTAAGAGATTTAAAAAAGCAAACAAATACCACGTATGTACCAAGTGAAACTTGATAAAACCATAATGATAGGTCGAAAGAAAGAAAGGAAAATAAAATCTACTAAGGCTGCAGCTATTTATTTTTTCATCAATAAATTGCTTTGTCAGTAAAAGTACTGTGAAAAATACCCATCACAGTTTTTCAGAGCCAAAGGTGTCATATTCAAAACACAAAGACAAGTGTATTATTATATACGACAAAGGAAGGCATAAAATCATCACTTGTGAGAGGCTTGAACCAGAAAATATTTGGTGTATAAGCTTGAACAATTACTGGACAGACATTCATACATGTTTCTAGTAACATTTTGGTTAAAATACACAAGGACGAACAGTGACAGTTTTGTATCTCGTGGTTAAACCAGCATTTATGCAGCATTCAGGTACGAGTAACTAACTGATATAGTGATTTATGAGAATATGTCCATTTAAGGAAAAGCTACATAACGCTTTTCTGAAAACGGACCTGGCAGTTTTTAGTGTCTGTTGCTGTTTTGTTTGTTTTTTTTGCCTCATGAGGGAGGACACAGTTATCTTTGTGTTTACCACTCCATCCCTCTTTCTGTAAATAACACATGTTCATGTATTCTGTATTTCAGGCACAGAAACACCTCTTTATTGTTCTTTTCTGCAGACCTGAAGGACTTTATTTCTCTGGGGGGGTTAAGTCCTGACCCTGCTCTGCTGCAATAAGCTGAGAGTGAAAAAGTGGTAGCAAAAGAAAAGAAAGAATGACAGAGGGAGGGCAGTTTGACCGCTGGAGGGAAAAGAATAAGAAGACCTTTAGTCCTTCAAGGTGTGGGTCTCTCCGCTAGTTCGGGAGGTCAGCAGCAGCAGCTGTCCTGCTTGACCGACTCTGATGAAGCTGCAGATTCTCGCCTTCATGAATCATC